TTATCTTGATTGATTAAATCAAAATTTTATACTGCATATTTTGCATATTCTGACGTTAATGCATGACGCTGCATATTTTGCATATTTTAACAACAAACCGTACAACATACAATAAAACATAGATCATAGGTAATGTTTATATAATATTATAATATCAAATATTTTACGTCTCAAAGAATATCTCAAAGGTTCCAGAAAATCTAATTTATAAAGAAATGTTGCCAATTACACATTTACCAATCGCAGCCAATAATATCCGTTAGTACTCTAATAGAGTCACCTTACGCAGATCATTTTGAAGAGTTCAAAATGTGATTGAACTTAGAAGATAATAAGGAAATGTATTCAAAATTAAATCAATTTTAATAAATTTAATGTACATGATCTTGCTTACATTAAAGCAAATTTTTATGTATCGTTGAAAGTATCAAAGCTTGAAACCCTAATTTGTCCTCAGACTCAATAAAATTTTAGAACAAGTGGAAACTTGTTAATGAACTTCCTAATAGTGCAAATAGTACAATAATTAAACAAATGTAAAAACGTTTTGAATAAAAATAAAGGATTAATGGTTTTAAAGAAATTTCAAAATACTCATAGACAGTGCGTTAATTTGACGATTTATCTGTTCCAAATTATTCGCTGGATATAATAGCAAATTTAAATATACCTAATCACCAGTGTTGATGTCGAACGTAGTTTTCATCATACAAGTACATTCCCAGATCGTCGTCATAATCACGGAAATAAACAACATGGAACATACTTTGATTTAATCCTTATTGTTTTCACCATTAATTTACCACCTTCAATAAAATTGTTCTGTACTTTTTCCTATTTTTATATCAGTATATCAAATGTATCTACCTTCATTTAATTTTAATAAAATATTTTTACAATATATCAATGTTTTAAAAACTAAATTTCAATTTAACAAAAATTAAATTTTGTATATATTAACATGTAACTTTGTTTATGAAAATAATAAATTAATAAATAATTATCACGCTACCAAATTAAATCTAATATAAATTGAAATTTTATTTTGATGATTTTCATTTTCCTCATATTTTGACTTTTTAGATGTCATGTTTGAATGCTATTTTACAATTTAAAATGCATATAAATCCGGTCTAGTTATATGTATACAAACAAATCTTAACTACTGTATAAGGATTCGTAATATTACACATCTATTATACTGATACTACTATAAGGATTATCCTACTGCCTCGATAGTTTTCTGTTTCATACCATGGCCATTAAACATTTGTTAAAAAAATAAATTCCATTGTCTACATTGTAAGTAATGTATTGTAGCGCATTTTAAACTGTATTTAATTTCGTTGGTACTTTAGTATGTATTTACTTATATCATATATAAATAATGTTGGTTTTAGTAAAAATCTATGTATTATACAAATTTACATAAATTGTAACAGTAATAAAATATTATTGTTTTAATTGTGGTTGAAGTAAGTTAGAATTAACTCGAATTGATGTAATTGTAAACCGTTTTACATATTATGTAATATGTTATATATTTTTAGTATTTATTATTAAATTATTCAACAGGTGTATTTGAATAATGCTGAAAAGTTTATTTTGCATGACAGACTACTATAGATTAGCTATTAAAATAGTGAGTTATAATTAGATATATTATTATAACAGCCTTTATATTCAGTAGGTATATTTATCACAAAGTAATTTCTCTAGCAAGATTTTTACTTTTCACAAAAATATTTTTACAAACAATTATTGTTTTACATACATTATATATAAATATATAAATAATGATAACCGTGTTATGGCATTGACTTGAACAGTTTTAATATCCAAAATTATAAAGCTTCTTTTATGGTTTCGTTACGCCATCATAGCAAGTCTTCGAAAAATTAAGTTATTTATAATAATTATATACGTGATAGGTAAACGATAGATCCATATTAAATTAAACAGTTCCCATAGCATGTTACATAGAAAAACAATTAGCATTTTGTAAAATGGCCATTAAGTATATATAAAATGTCTACACTTGAAAATAATAATAAAATTGTAATTGTTAGCAATTTTACCATTCAATTATTAGAATTGATACACTTAAAAATATGGACATTGCACAAGTTTTTATCTGATAATAAATCAAAATACGCTACATTCGGCAAACTAATCTAAAACTATTTAAAACTTAAATAAGTTAAAATATAGTTCTAACTGTTATTTTATTCGTGTTTTCAGAATTTACACGATCTTATAATATAGATTTATAAAAATAAAGTTAAATATTCTAGTTTTTCTGACTATTATGGCTATTTTTTCTTTTGGAAATAATTTGACATATTACCTTATAGCTAAGACACATTTCGACTTAATCTCTTTTAAATGTAACAATTTAAGTTTTTAGAACCAAACTTAAAATTTATATATGTTTTATTTGACTTATATGAATATTATATGATTAGTAACTATATGGTATTAAAATGCACTAATAATTAAATAAGAATTATTTTTCAGTCTCATAAATTATTTTATTTAGTAATGTAAACGTTGATAAAATAGCTAAAATTTAAAAATAAATAATTACTCAATTAAGTATAATAAACAATATTAGTAATAGAAAAAAAATAGTATTATCAATAGGCATTATTATTTTTCTCTTCAATATAACATAACGCATTGCTATTTTAAAATAATTATAGTCTAAATAATATTTACATTTAAATCAAGTCTTATAAAATATGTGTAACTGTAATACTGTATAAGTATTTTAGTATTTTATTTTATAAATTTATATTTGGGAATAAAAATAATGCATATGTTGATTTTTGATTTTTTATTTTTTTAGGGAAAAATAAATCTTAATTTTTACTTATTCCCCTTTACTAGCGCACCGTTCATAAATAATGTAATTGAGTTTTTTTTTAGTGGTAACATTTTTTATATGCCACGCCCTTACACCCTTGCATATATTAATATTTTCCTTTTTTTTATTATATTTACTTTTAAGGTTATTATAATTTACAATTTTAATAAAGACTTATTAAATAAAATAAATAATTTGCATTTTACGATTTAGGTACCTAACCTAATTATACAAAATATAATTATTATAAGAATCAATGTAGCTAATGA